GCTTTCAATCGCCTTTGAAGAAGGAACGGAGCTGGTTTTAAAACGTAGGCTTTCCTTTCGAGGTATTGTTGTAGCTATTTTTCGGACATTAAATGTACCATTCACTAATATTAGATTATGCTGCGGCTGCTGGAGCGCTAAAAAGTGCATAGACCCTTGTGGGGTCTCTTAGAGTGATTTTGCTCCATTCTTTCACACATGATTGCCGAAATAAACATTCATTCACTCATCTATCATTCCGCCTGCGTTTTCACGATAGTGTGCGTGAACTGAGGGTAGCCTAACCAAATGGAGTAATTCTAAAGATACAAGTCATTAAGGGGACCCTAAAAAAACCTTTCGGCAACTCACTTTTACACGTTCATACTATAAGACTTCTCGTGAGGGTTTTACGTGTATTCACCCACGCTTACGAAACGGAGCATTAATATGCCAGATAGACCTAGACGACAGGACTCATTTAGCCCTTAAGTTACTAATTAAACAATTGTACCAAAGAAATGAAAACCGAAAGCACGACATAAAGAATGTAAAGGTAAGGAGGCAGTGCTCCTTAAATTTATAAGAATTGGGGTTCGGTAGAAAAATTAAAGAAAGTCCGTGGAAAAGTTAATTTTTAGATAATTATGTACAACCGGGAACACATCAATATAATTGTACTCATCTTGCGAAATGGGTGCTTGTCACTCTCTGAGAAGATTAAACTAAAATTGTGCTTATATCAAACGCATTCCTCTAAGTCCCTGTGCATGGCTGTTCAACAGTTAGTTCATGTATTTTCTCCGTATATATAAATAAGTAAAGATGTTTGTTTTAGTTTAATTTCAAATATGTGTGGTCGTTTTACGCTAAACGGAAAGGGAAGAAATAACGTCGCGAATTAAATTCTTTAAATAAATCATATAATCCTTATCTCTTGCCATCACTGTGGGGCTGAGGCTGGAAAACCTGGAGGCGGTGTTTCCCCTTGAAGTCATTTCGATCTTGGCGATGGTTCCTTCTTGCGTCAGTCGAAGGTCGGGCAAGGTCATTAGATCCCACTCTATGACGTTTGCCCTGCGTCAGCCGAGCTGGGGCGAAGAACTTTACGAAGGGGAATTTTAGGGCTTCCCGTTCGCTTAAAAGCAGAGACTGGAATTGATGCGAATCGGATATCGGCACGAACTTTTTTTACTTGCGTTTTCCCCGATGCAGACATTTTCACTCGTGTTCTCTTTTTTTTTTTTTTTTTTGGGGGGGGGGGGGGGGGGTTGGGGAGTGTTTAACTTACGTGCCCTATCGGAATCACTATACAGTTATGACAATTGTTCACGAATATGATCTCAATACATGTATGCGTCTAAGCATATTGTTTGTAAGTTAAAAATATGCCACAATAATAAAATATTCGGGCAGATACTTTTATTTTCTTTGCGGCAGTACTTTGGATATATCTGCAGCAAAAGCGTCATGAATAGAACGAAAGTTGAGGAGTTCCACGAAAGGCCTTTACTTCACCAACATTTCAAGCGGGGACCGCTTTTCTTCAGGGTGACATGGTGTGTCAAATATCCTCTTCTTCTTTTGACGTTCGTGTGGAAAAGGAAGAGTGACAATGAGGAGTATTAAAAATATTTTGAACGGGAGCAACGAAAATATCGTAAATTTTTGGAAATAGTAAATATAAACACACGCACATATATATACATATATATATATATATAGAGAGAGAGAGAAAACGTGGTGCAGGGTGACGAAATGTATATACGGCAGAAAAACGCACTTGATACGGTTGTTGGAGTTTTTAAAGCGTATTATTCGTAAAGTTCGTCGACGTTTCGGCCTGAGACAGACCTTTTTCAAAACCGAGAGGCTCGGCTTCGTCAGCAGATGCCATCTCCTGACGAAGCCGAACCTCTCGGCGAAACTGTCGTAATACATACAATAAACTTCCTAGCAATGGAACTCTGAAAGTACGGATCCTTCACTTATATATATATATATATATGCGTAGCCACCCTCTGCGACGACGGCGTCGCAGATGGTGGCTATGCGTTCCAAAATGGTATCAGCCGCCGGTAGAGGGGGTGGGCCTTCAAGGGTGGGCCCAGAACGCAGCGTCAAGCGCTCCCTTTAGTATCAGACATAATTATTCCGAAAGACTGGGGCTACGCAACAATAAAATATGAAAGAGAAAAAAGCAAACAAAGAAATGCGAACAGGAGCGCAAAAAGTATAGTAGATAACACTCACGTGATTGTTAACGGTAGGGAAAGGGGAACAAAAAAAAATAACAGCCCTAGGTTTGAGTGGCACACAAACAAGCGGGCAGCAAAACCACGTTGGGCGCTAGATGCAGCGGTTTGCCTTGCTGCTGCCCCTAGGGAGGTGCGACACCCGGAATCCAGCTCAACAATAGTGTTTGATACCTGTCGGGTCCCCCGGCGGCGACTGGCCGTTGGCAGAGTTGGACTCGCACATATAGAATGGGGAGCGCGGTGCTTTCAGTGCTTGAGCGCGCGAGCGCCTTCATAATATATATATATATATATATATATATATATATATATATATATATATATATATATATATATATATATATATATATATATATATATATATATATATATATATATATTACTTTTTTTCAGCAGGCAAATTTGGGGCAATGCTTTAATTACCAAAGCTCGGACCAAACTACTGAGGAATATATCATTTGTTGTCACACTGGTGACATGCTTACTTATATCAGCCAATGGGAGTAAAGCGTCACCAGCGTGTGAGCCCTGCTACGGTTGCACAACTACAGATGTTTTTTGTATTTTTTTTTTCTTTTTGGGGGAGGGCTGAAAGATGATTAAAGTTTTAAGAAAGAAAACTTTCATAATAGTTTTTTTGTACTGCGGCTAACGTTGGAGCCAAAAGGTTGCTAGAAAAGCGGTTAACTGGAATAATAAGACGCCTAATGAACTAAACGTTTTAAGTTTCTCGTGTATTTTTAAGGCCTATTATATTTTAATAATTTACACTTGACCTCAACATAGTCATGCAGCGACGTGACAATTCATTAAAATCTTATACGGGGTGATGCACGGCGAGAAATAATATCCTTGAACACGGCTTCAACCCGAAACTGAGCCGGCAAAGCGCTCTCATGAAGTCAATCACTCTGGTTTGTGCCGGCTCCGCAACCCAGGTGTCCACGCCGCAGGTGACGTCAGCACTGAGGACACGGCCGTAGAATGCCTCAACTTTGAAGAAACATGCCCAAAATAAAGCACTTTAAAATCGACCCGGTACCGATAAGAAAAAGAAACGAGATAATACGGTGTTTTGATAGACCATTTTGATTACTCCGGTAACGATACCCGAAGCTCAGCTGATGCTATCCGCATGCATGGCATTTTTACGGAGTATCGTTATTGGATTTGTCCGAACGATCCACAAAAAAAGCTATAATGTTTGTTGTTCTCGAAGAACGAAGCAGCCTCGAGTATAGTCGAGCGCGGGCTGCGTTCCGTGCCAGGAGAAAATAAAGCCGCATATAAAGATAAAAAAAATATGCAGGCTAGCTCATCAACTTTCAGCATCTTGAAAACGCTAGACCGAGGAACAAGAACGAAGGGAGTCGGAGCGAGCAAACGTGTTCATCGTAACCTATCTTTTTTTTTTTCTGTTTTGGGTTTTTAAAATGTTGGGTATGAGGATTTCTTTCCGTGAAGCTTGTGTTTTTTTCTATTAAAGTATACAGCGCCAATCCAGTATGTTCTTAAAAGCTGAAACATTCTTTACTACTAACGTCGGAGACAGTTTAAGAGTAAAGTGGAAGCTCCACCCCTTCTCTCCACTTTGTGGAGAGAAGGGAGAGAGGCTTGGTGCTTCACGTGTGTGAATGGGCTTTTGAGTTTCACAACAGCGTTAATTGGTTTTTCGTGTGCTGCAAACCAAACATCATCCCTTTTTTTTAACAGCTAACAAATGGTACGACCCTGTATAATGACTACATATGTCTGATTAGAATAGTCGAAATAAGGTTAATACTTCGAGAGTTAACTAGTAAACTTTAGGCAATTAGGTTTTTAATTATTACGTCCGGCTTGTGCAGTGACATCCACTCTTACACAAAATCATAATTGTTTTATTTTAATGTTTCCAACGTATTTTATTGTAAATTAAAAAAAACTCGTATATTAAAAGTACCGATAGCTACGCTTCAAACGTATTCAGAAAAAACTAAATTTACTTTTTTTTTCTAAATTTCCAAAGTGCCAAGGAACATTCTGCGAATGTAGTTACAGGTGCTGCACGCACCGGCATGTGCCATAGCACAGCCTCCTATATACTGACAAAGCCTGGCAGATCGCTGCGAGAAGCGACCGCCGAAAAAAGGAAAAGGTGGAGCGGCTGACAACGGATCAGAGGAGAGCCACGTGACTAGCGCCCCGTTGCGGCGAGACGCCGAAACGCACTTCTCCCGAGCAAGCAAGTGTGTTTCGGGTCCTCGCAGCTGAAAAAGCTGTGCGCTGACGCCCAGGTTCCCCGAGAAAAGTCTCGTTGATGCTCTGTGCTAGCAGATCCTCGCTCTTTAATCTCCGACCGAGCACTATATGGCTCCGTCGTCGAACTGCCAGGCTTTTTGAGTACAGAGTGGCTATGGCAGTAGTAAATGCTCTATAGCAAAAGCCTAAAGCGAATTTCACGTTGCACACGCGTTCGTCAACACCTTATTTTGGTTATTTATTTCGAATCCTTTATATGGAACGCCAGCACGTGAGGCGCGTACACTCACATTCCCAGCATTCTCCTTGATACTCGGGCAAATCAGTAATAGGTGTACTCAGGCGAGCTTTGCTAACTGCGAAGAATGAGTGCGCCCACTGTGACCGATGTTACAGGAATGAAATTGTCTTGGCAACTGACCTTTGAAAGCGACATCCGCCCCAATGGGAAACCTGTTTGAAACCTTTTACAGCGCTGTTTAATATTCCTTTCTCCAGCTTTAACATGTCGTGCTTCTGCAGGCAGAAAATTTGACGAGCTATATATTTGATCCAATGGTTTCGCGCATGACTCTGGGGATCTGCGTCACCACTGATTGCACCGAGCGTGATCTCCAAAAACTGGTTGACAGATGTAAGTATAAGATTTTTTTTTATGATCGCGCCTTTCACGTATTTATCCATTACTGAAAACTGTACACCACTCGTGATTAACTTTAAACAAATAGCAAAAAAAAGTAGTTTCGTAGCTTTAAAAGCTATTTCCTTCCGTTGTCGCGTTCATAACACATCTCAAGACTTGATGCCGGTACAAATATTTGCTTCGGTTGCATTCACAACAAATGAAAAGGCAGCAATAAAAAATGTGCATTGACAAATACGCTTCGCAAGCCTCGTGGAAACCGGACACGGAATTGCCCGGCAGCCAATACCTCAAATAACAGTTGCTATGTTGCGCACGGTGAACAGTTTTGCATGTGACATGTGAATAACGAACCTCAACGCTTTGGTTCCCCCGAGCAACTTGGATCGTCGCAGTGTGCATGAGCAGCGCAACCCCCGAACATCTTAAGAGACTGATCGGCGTTGGGTCTATTCTAAAATTCACTATTATCTTTAGAACTTCAGGGTCGTAAACGTAACCCACGCAATTGTCTGAATCCTCCATTAGGCATTTTGGTCATAAAAACAACTCATTCATACGCCAACTTAAAAAAAAAAAAACAAGAGCGTCGGTACTGTCCTGCGGAATACTTTTGTTTCCGCGACTCCTCGCGCGTGGAACAAACATTTCTCAAAAGGCTGTTCGCTCATCCTCACTTTCCCATAACGCTCCAGAAGCGCTAAAATGGCGTAAGGTCGATCAGCTATTGCTGTGATCTAGTCGCTATATCACGAATAGACAGGCACCACCAGATTAAATACGCAGTAAGTGTCTTACTGTGCACTATTTTTTTAGATTAGACTCAACTTTGATCACTCTCATCATCTCAGTTTACGGCATCTGTGCCATACTCATTGCGGTCTGCTCGAGGTTTATCAAGGAAGAAGTATGAACGTACTATTCTACGAATGATATATGAGGTTGTAGGTTCTAGACGTCAGTATTGCGACGATTAAAAGCGCTAAAAAGACTGGGATCAGTCAAATAAGGCACACACTGGTCCTCGTTTTTTTTTTTAGTGCTTTTCATCGTCACAATGTATCACCAACTACCGTATCACCAACAACTATCACCAACTGTACGGCTTATAGAGACGCCAGTAGAACACGACGCACGAAATAGGTACAGCAGCTGCGTAATAATTAATTTAAGAGTTTGGTCCAATTACTCTCTTGGCACAACTTTTGTGCTAAAAATTTTGTGACTGTAATTTAATCGAGGAGCTTATGCTCGACACTATGCACCAGTCAGTTCTAATGTTCATACCATTGAACCTGAAACGAATAAAAGAAAAGATTGACGAGATCGAGAGACCAATCTTCGTTTGCCATTGACGAGGAGAAGTGACGTTGCCCGATGAAATACAGTTTGTGACCGCCTTTAGTTTAAGGAATTTGAAACCGATTTTTGGCCACCAGGTGACATTAAATATTAACAAAGGTTTAGTTTTAACCTGAGCAAAATCGCGCATGTGCTCCACTTTTTAACCAGAAAATATCATGTCCTCATGCGCATTGTAAGGATTGGCTGAGATCCGGATCAACGGTTTAAAAACAATTAATAATATTTGGGTCTTGGAATTCAATCCCTGTATTATAAACCATCCTCAGTGTTTATATTTGTATTTTGTTTTACAGTTATGGACAACCGAGTGAAATTATACATACAGAACTGTGTAACAAACGAATTTCCAGAGATCGACATTACACAAGTAATAATTATGTGAGTATATAACATTATAACTTTGAACTCATATTTATGTATTAGAGTTGATGCTTGCTCGTGCAATACTCGCGCTCGTGCTAGCAGGGGTATTTTATAGTTTTTTTTTTTTCAATAAATATTTTTTAAAGATCTGCCGATAAATATTTTAATAATAACTGGATTTTTGTCATTCGAAATTATTCATGGTCCATACGTTATTAAACAACATTAAGCATATTAAAAATAGCGCGAAATGAACCGGACTAAGCCGGAGAAACACACAAGAGAAACACACGTGACACGTGCTACGTCCCTGTCGCGTACGCCCATCCTGTGTGTCCTGATATCTGTTTGTGTGTGTTACTATGTATCTGTGTATGTCATTGTATTGTTCATTTTGCAATTTTTTCTCGGTCATTCACCAACTCGACCTGCACTCCACCTTTTTAAAGAATGTAAACATGCCAATAATCATCATTACGGGAGTGGTAGTAAATTCTGCCGTGTTTATTTTCATGTATATCTTTCTATGAATCAACTGGACCATATTCTACCCGAAAATACCAAATGGGCAAAAAAGCGGCTGGAACACACACCTTAATGTGTGTTCTACGACTGTAATTTTGTGTAACATGTTGACACAACAAACAAAAATGCTTGCCATGTCTAATGGCAGCCACTAGACGCTCATGTACTTGATTGCCAAAGCCTTGGCTTTTCGTGATTATGAAAAATAACTAAATAAATTGAACTGAAACCGCTGGCGCTTTTTGCCGCATCTTTTTGAACCCATTTTGATCGCTTTGCGTTTAAATCGCCAGACGCTTTTAGTATACAATCTCCTTTCGCGAGCTGGCATGCGAGTCTATCGTGAGAGGTTTGCGTTCTGATTACGGGCATCTATTTCGCAAAAGTCGCCAACTGCCCCAATATTATGCTCATACACAGTCCGTAAGGTGGACAGTCCTCTTCACCGTAGAGTGGCGAACAGCGGTACCGATATTGTCGCATCGATGCTTGCGAATCATTGGTGCTAGAAATGCAGTCTTGCTGAGTGTAGCTTCCTACCATAAGTATATCAATAAAGTATCCCGCCACCTCTACTAGCAAAGAGCCTAAGGGGCTGTTTTGGCGCACTGATGGAAAAGAACAACTGACTCAATGAAGAAAACAGTGAGTGCGCAGACGAGCTGGTGGATATTGATCATGATGTAGAAAACCCGAGACTGTGGTAAGAGCAGAAAAACTTGGTCGAAGAAGAAAGACAGAAAGAACTGACTCATAGTTCTTTGCATGCGATTACTCTCGTGAAAAGAGTTCCAGACAATGAGGTAAGGTTTCGGATGCGTCTCAGTCGGTAAAGCACTGGATGAAAGGATTTCATTGGCTATTCAAACATTGCTAAGATGGTATATGACGGAATACGCACGCGAAAAACAAATTGGCTGTCTCTTTGGCATTTCCCAACGCCTTCGCTCGCGTCTGCCCAAAACCAAAGTTTGTCGCAGACATTACACACCACGGCCGAACGCATTGTTCATGATCATGCGCTTGAACTACCAAGCGGACGCTGTGTAATCGCGCATTGCTTTCTTTCGCTGCTGGGCCCGGCACTGTCGTACTGAAGCCGCGTCCCGTGTTCTTCATCTCCTTTTGAACCCGCGCTGTTTTTGTGACACACAAAGGCCGCAGGTCAGAGGCTCGATAATATGTGTAGTTCTTCTTTGCTGCCGCCGAGCACACACTAAAGAAACTTCCCGCTCCAAGAGAAGTCTACAAGGTCTCTAAAAAAACAATGTACAGGGTGTTTATTGTGTTCGTTTTTTATTGAAAAAAAATTTTCAGATCGCCGAACGTTCTTTCTCCGCGCCAGAGTAGCGCTACCATTGCGTACCAGATGCTTAAAGCTCCAGCCCCAACCGTTATGTTATTAAAAATGTATAGCTATTTTTATTTCAGTTGTAAAATGGCGGCCGTCAGATCTCTCTAATACATGGAGCTCTAAGGCGCCATCTACCGAAAACGGGCGAAAATCGGCCCAATTTTCCCACTGAAATTTTCAGAAAATGCCATATCTTTTCAATAAGATAAAGGTTCGTGTTAAAATTTTGGCACCTGGTTCAAACCGGTAGCGCTACATTGCGGAGGAGAAGGAGCATTGGGCAAAGCGTAATATATTTGTGTAAAAAACGAAAAAAATGGCGCTTTTCTTTTCTTTTTTTTTTTGCGGAAGGGGGGTGGGGTGGGGGGGGGGGGAAGAGAAAGAGGTTGGGGGGGCGCGCTGTACATTGCTGACTCGGAAGCGCTAAGAGCTGGCTTTATCAATGTCATGTATTTGAAATGATTGAGCATCGCCTAAACATCACGCGTCTGGTGACGTTGCGGCGCTGGCAGTCAGGGCAGCACAATGTGAGCGTGCACGTTTGTGTATAATGCGCCATAGGCCGCAAGTTGCGCCGTGTCGATGGCTCCGAATCAAAACCCCCGTGCAACGATGGCGGTACATAGGCAAGTCGGAATGTTCAGTGCCTCAAACAACTGCGTACCTCCGTCTCAGGCTCACTGACTTTTTATCTGTATTCGTTAGGCTAGCGCCAGGGTAGCGAATAAAAATCATAATAATTTAAATTGTTATTTTAATGAGGATCCAAAGAGTAATCTAAATCATAATTTAAATTGTCATTTAAACCATTTCAGTATTATTATGACGATTTAAATCAAACCTTTCTCGCAAATATAATCCTAAAAATATATTTTTATTCGCAATAATCTATCATTTGACGCTTTCTTCCCATGTGCATTTGTTTACATTTTAATCAAATAACCATTGAGGAAGAAATATTTACATCAAGCTGAACACGTGCGAAAAGGTGTGCTTTTATGCGCATTCGGAGCGTTGGGCCCTTTTTCTACCTTCCTCTTTCTTTGCGAGTTATGCAAAGTAAATCAGGGGATGAAAAAAAAAAGGAAAGTAATGTTCTATTGTATGTAAATGAGACCACAAAAAAGAAATCAATTAGTTTGTTTAACGAACAAAGATATATCGTTCTAACTTGACGGGTTTAAGTCAATAAAATGTTCATCAAACGACGTGAAGTTTAGTGTAATTATATTTTCCGCAATATTATCACTGATCGACGTATTGGTCAATTAATCTCAGATTTTTAAGAATACATCCTGTGGTAAAGAATCAATACGTTGAAGCTACAGCGATTTAAGTACAAATATTTTGACCTAGATAAAACAAGATATATAAGATATACATC